GTGCGTGTGTGTGTGTCAATTTTTCCACGTCTGTGAACTGTTGCTCATTTGAAACCCCTCCAACATGCACACACGCTCGCACAGGTTGTGTACAAGTGGAAAAACGCGTACGATTTGACAATCAAGCGCATGTTCATGATGGACGAGACGTTTGTGGACAACTGTCTCCCTGATGATTCCTTCTTTCGCGTCGTCTCCGTCGAGGGAAAGGTACATTGCCTGTTTGCGCGCTGTTAACTGAATTCTCGCATGCTTCGCACGCCCTTGTCACTAGTGTTGACACCAACGCACATCCAAACCACACATCCAAACCACACACACACACACACAGGCACACACACACACACACACACACACACACACACACACACACACACAAATTGCCCTCTCTCGGCCTCGCCCATTGCTCACCTGTGCACGTGCGCACGGGTTTCATTGCCACGTATAGCCGATGGTACTCCACAGTGATTCCGTGAAGGAAAAGAAGTATTGGAGCACAGCTGTCACTGCGACGGTAAAACGTTTCAAGGAGACTGGCGAGTCCTCCGTCCAGCTGCGTCAGGCCTGGCTCAAGGAGAAGGCGTCACGCAAGAAGAAGGGGCTTATGTCCCCAACCGGCGGCCACAAAGGTTTGTGTTGAGCCGTGTTATTTTGCATGTGTGTGTGTGTGTGCTTGAATGCATGGATTGATTGTTGCTGCAAGGGAGCGAGAAGGAAGGGATGCCTTGCAGCATCCAGCGTTTTTGTTGCGGTTGAGTGTCTCACGTGTTTCATATTCCCCTTCCATTCATTCAACAGCCAAACGGGGAAAGAAGATTGCAGCAAAGCTTCTCAAAGCGCCGCAGCGGCGCCGATCCCAAACTCTCGAACAAGTGGAAGCAAAACTGTAAGTTTTTGAAATCGCTTGAAATGTGTGCAAAGCCGTGTTTTCGGGTGTGCGCACACGTGAGACATACACGCATTATATGGATTTTCCTTCCACTTTCATTGTCACCCACGATCTGACACATTCACAACTCTCGTCCCTCACCACGCTCTCCACTCCCACCACTCACTCACCACCATCCACTCAACACCAACCACCAACCACCAACCACCATCAGACAAGCTGCGACCACCGCCATTGCGCTGCGGGCACACGCGGCCGAGGCATCCGAGCCCATGCACGTAGTTGACGTGTCCAAAGTCAAGGCGCGGCGCCTCACATCTGGTGGCGGCGTGCTGTCAGACTCCGAGCCAAACACACCGCTGCCGTCGACCCCCAATATGGGGCAGCGCGGCAACCGCACATCCGCGCTCATGGAGATGACAGAGTCAGACACAGACGGGCAGGTGTCGAGCGCGCGGCCTTCGTTTGCACAGCAGAGCGCCGTGCTCGGCGCTGTGGCGGCTGACGACCAGCGGTTTTTCGTGTCTGTCACGTTTCCGGACAGCAGCCACACCACCGTTGTTGTGCAGCAGGGGCAGTCCATCACGTCCGTCTTCTCCAGAGCCCTGGTTCGTCGCGGCCTCAGCGTTAACGACCACCACCTCGTCACAGCAGGTGCGGCTTTGTCGCGTTTACTTGTTGTGTGTGTGTGTGCACGTGTGTGTGTGTGTGTGTGTACGTGTGTGTACGTGTGTGTGTGTGTGTGTGTGTGTTTGCTGGCGAAAAGCCCGTGACGCTTTTTGTAGTGCAACTGTAAGCTGGGCATTGATTGCATTCGCATTCACACTCACACAAACAAATACGCACATTCACCCACAACACTATCCCCCCCCCCTCACAACATCCATTCACACACAACACATCCAGATGGCATTGAGATTGAGTGGGAGGCACAAGTGGGCGACACACTCCGCCGCTCGCAAGCCGTACGCGTTGTGCCTGGTCCTGCAACAACGCCAACACGCAGCCCACGCAACCAGACAAAGAAGAAGAAGAAAATCAGCCTGGTAGGTTGTGAAGGTGGTCGTGTACAGTGTGTACGATGATGTGGCTGCGTACGACTGTTGACTGCGTAGATATGTGTATGTGCGTGTACGAGCGCGCGCGTGTGCATACATGCGCACACGTTCACCCCCTCACCTGCACTCACTCGCATTCACTCGCACTCGTACTCTCTCTTCCAACGCTTTGCTGCACTCACCCGAACCCTTGCCGCTCAACCACCCACCCTCGTGCACAGGCAATGTCGGAGCAGTGGGAGTCCAAGTTCAGCACTGCCGGCGACTCTCTCCCTGGCGACGTGCTCCGTCAACAGCAACAACAACAACAGCAGGAGCAGCAGAAACAACCGTTGCCTGCACGCAAGCCCCGGCGGTCTTCCAGCCACATGTCTGTGCTGACACAGGACCTGCACGTGCCCCCGTACTCGTACACATCCCAGCAGCAGAGCGCGAGCACAACGTCCCTTGCTCCACTTGCCCAACAACAACAGCAACAGCAACAGCAACAGCAACAGCAACAGCAGCCGCAACTACAGCAGCAACAAGAACGTGGCGCGTCGAAGGCAATGCTCACGACCAAGAAAAGGGCCGGGTCTGGCGAGTCGACCCGCGTTCCGTCGCTTGTGAGCATTCGCGGGCACACAGCCACCACCTCCACCAGCAGCATCAGCATGGGCAGCAGCGGCAGCCGACCAACATCGAGTCAGCAGCAGTACCGCCGGCCACGCCGTGCAAGCAGCGCCATGTCTGTCATCAAGGAGACGTTTGTGGAACCGGAACACCGGCAACCACTACAGCACCAGCCGCAACAGCCACAACACCACATGTCGCAACACCACGACATGCAGCGACAACAACCGCAGCAACAGCGGCTGCGGACACGTGCAAGTGATGCTGCAATAATCACCGCCACCCGCTCGTCTTCTGGCGTGTTTGCATCGTCACACCTCCACCTTCTCTCGCAATCGCATGAACACCAGTATCCGAGTACGCGTGCGAGTGTCGACAACGGCATCATCACCAGGGGGCCACCGCCAGCAATGGCACGAATGGCACAGGCGGCAACACAGCGCACCACCACCATCATGACGGCCACAGCAGCGACCACCACGACCACAACCACCACCACGACACCACCGGCACCAGCACCAGCACAGCACAGGACTGCAAAAGTGCTGTCATCATCGGGGCCGCTGCCGCTGCGACACGCGAGCTCGCCGGCGCTGCTTGACGATGACGACCGGGCCTCCTCCACGTCAAGTCTCTCTGAACAGCTGTCCTCATTCTTCAAGGCAGTGCGCGTGGAGGACTTGGGGAAGAATCTTCCCATCCCCAAGAAACTCAGCAGAGAAGGGTCACGCGACAGCACGCTCAGCGCACGTGGACCCAACGCAGACGCAAGAACTGTGGATCATCAGCAACAACCGCATCAGCAACAGCAGCAGCAAGTACATCAACTGTTTCAACGCAACAGCGCTTCGCAAGCCGCTGTCGGTGTCGTTAAGGCGAGGAGCTGTGTGCATGTGAACGGCAAAGACGCAACACTTGGTGGCATCTCACAGAGCAATTCCCTGGACGTGGAGCCGGGCGATGTTGCGATGGACACAAGCGGAGATGGCGATGGCAATCATCATCATCATCATCATCATCATCATCATCATCATGACGACGACGAAGAATATGACGTTGGTCGCATGACAGAGCTGCTTCGTCGTTCCAGCGCCACCCCACCTGGTGGACGGCGCATATCCGTGCATGCAGGCAGCGACGGCACCGTGAGCGATGGCGAAGTGGTGGTGAAGCGCCACAGCTCTCTCTTCCACAATCACAATGAGTTGTCCGACAACGACGACGACGTTGATTACGACGACTACGGATACGAGCTCGATGATGCCGATGATGATGATGATGATGATGACGACGACGAAGATGATGACAAAGTGTATCGCGATGGGATGTTTGGTCACGACGGTGTTGGTGGAGATGGCGATGAGTACACGGACAGTGTTGATGACGAGGCTGACGGCAGCGTCTCACCCCTCGACCGCCTCACCTCCAGCAGCAGCCACGTCGAGTGGGACCAGCGCGTCATGAACAAGTTGTACGGCGCACAAGCGGAAGCGTCATCCTCGCCATCGCTGCACCACCATGCCCACGGCACAGCGGGCAGGGGCATGAAGGGTGTGCATCGTGACCAGCTGCGCCAAGCCATCGACTGGACATCCAATGGGCTCGATACAGTGCTGGACATTCGATCCATCAGCGACAGCGGCAAGACAACCCCGTCAAGCACCCCCGGTGTTGGCTACGAGGAGGCTGTGCCGGCGGACATGGACGTGGTTGAGTTTGGCGGCGCCCGTGGCCGCACCGGCACACGCGCACAAGCACACAAACAGCGCCGCACCTCTCCCCTCAGTGTGGCGAGTGGTGGTGCTGGCAGAACACACGCACGCACACAAGCCGAGGGCGGCAATCATGATGATGGTGATCAAGATGGTGGTGAGGAGATGGCTGGAATGGTTGAAGCCACGGAACTGCGTGTGCACGCTCACGACAGCGATGAGGAAGAGGCAGCGATGGTTGGCATCCAGGCCGCGATTGAGGCAGCGGAAGGCTGTGGCGACGGCAGTGACAATGGCGGCTATGGCTACGATGACGATGATGATGATGATGACGATGAGGAGGAAGATCTTGACGCAATCAACGCCAGCTACCTCCACATCGAATCGAACGACGACGGCGAGAGTGACGCTGGTGATGCTGACGATGCTGATGGTGTGAGTGATGGCAGGTTGCAGCTTGTTGGGCGCCAGGAAGCAAGTGGCCCGGCAGCACGCCGTCGCGTGCAGGAATTGCGTGCGTGCTTGCAGGCAGACATGGACGATTACGAGACCATGCTGCTGGAGGACAGGCAGGCCATTCTTGACACGACGGCAACGAAAGCCAACGCCAGTCATGCGGACAGCAATGACAGGAAGCCGCGGCACCAGCAGGAGCAGCAGCAGTACACGGCTAGCCATGACAATGACGAGGATAGCAGCACACGCGGCGGTGGCAGCCGCAACCCGGGCAGAGGGAGCGACAACGAAGACGCGCCCGCTGTGGAAGGTGCTATCACCACGTCCACTGCCCTGGCGCTGCTTGCAGGCAATGCAGCTGCAGCTTACGAGGAAGCGCGTGATAGCGGACGGCCGTCTGTTGATCTGACATGTATGACGGGATCTGAGCAGAACTTGTTTCTGTCGCCGCGCTCACGTCGGCGTGCCTCTGCCCAGCGCCGCGAGGTCAACGTCAGCAACGACGACGATGGCAGTGACGGTGATGTGGACGGTTCCAGCATGCGCGCAGGTGGTGATGGGAACACGACGACTTCCGCCACGGGTGGGGAGGACAGCGAGGGCTTGGCGTTTTCCTTCACACAGAGCGATATTCGCAAGTACAGCGATGACACTGCTGCCACCGCCCCGCAGCAGCAGCCATCAAGTACCAGTGAGGGCCAGCAGGAATCGCCGTCGTTGCTGGATGTGCGGGAGCGCGTGTCAACACCGTCGTATCACGGTCACCGCCAGCGGTCGAGGGAGGAGCTGGCACGCCGCATCTCTGAGGAACTCATGGACGAAAAATCCATTGCCGGGTTGCTTGCAAGCAAACAACAACAACAACAACAACAACAGCAGCAGCAGCATGGTGAAGAGATCGCAGCTGTGGCAGGATCCGGTGTGCAGAGCCAACAGCGGCTGCAGCGTATGTTTGGCGATGTGTCGGCAGCAACGGCAGTCAAATCTTCAAAAGGCACAACCACAACCACGTTTGGTGCAACAACGACGACGACAACAACCACAAGTGCACGCGTAGCAGCTTCAGCAGCAGGCACAACTCAGCATGGCGGAAGCGGACGTGGGTTGCCCCATCCTCGACGAACAAAACCGAACGTCGCACCAAAGCCTGCGGCGCTGTTACGGTACGCGAAGCGAACCACGGCCCTCTGTGATGCATCTGCATCCAACAGCAGCAGCGATGCGGATGGAGCAGCCCATGCAACCGCATCGGAGGACGACGCAACCACCACGCCAACGATTGTTGAGACCACGGCTGACGACCACGGGTCGTTTGCACGGGGAGCAGGAGCAGCTGCTGCCGACTTGCTGCGCCGGGGTGACAGGCTCTTCGCCGGCACCAACTCTGCGACACTGTCTTCTGGTGATGACGGAAATTATGACGACGACAACGACGACGCTGAGGCTGAGGCTGACACGTTGGGCCAGCTGCTGTCAATGCACCGGTTGCCACACCGCAGACCAAGCACAGACGCATCAACAACGCTTTCGTCCGGTTATGAGGCAGACACGTCCGCAAACGCCACACGGCCCGTGTCCCTGGCCATGAGCGATGGATGCATGTCGCGGTTTGGTGGTGATGAGAGCAGCGATCCCTTGCCTGCAAGCACGCCATCCTCGCCCATGGCAGCGATGATGCACGACGCACATGTTACGGACGAAACGACAGAAACAACAAGTGCAACGACAGAAACAGCGACATCAACAGCAGCAACAGCACCGCGAGCGCCGCTGCTGCGCCGCCACTTGTCCCGAGATACGTTTGAGGTACTGTCGCAAATCACGGATGCGCTCGACTCCCTGGTTGGCCGGGGCAGCGCCGTTGCTCGTGGTGAACGAAGAGCGTCAAGCGCACACGGGCGCAGCCACAGCATCACGACGCGTGACGATATGGCGCTGCGTACGGATGGCGGTGATGAGCAGCGGCCAGTGCACCGCCACCGCCGCAGTCGCTCTGACATCACCGCCGGGCTCGCACTCAACCTGGCTGATGTGTACAGCCACGACGATGCGCTTGGCGAAGATGAGGATGATGGCAACGTGACAGTCACGGAGGTGCTTGGCGCAAGCAGCGACACACCCGAGACGACAACACCAACACCATCGGCCGCCACGACAACAGCCGGACTGTCGTCGAGACTTGGGAGCGGCCCACCATCCCCAACACGCACACGGCGGCGATACCTCTCTCTCCGCCGGCGCACGCTCGAGAGCACCAGCAGCGACGCCACGTCGACAGGGATGATGACCAAGGGGCTGCCAACACGCGGCAGCGCAACAAGCGCAGGGTCTCCCCCGTGTGTCGGCGATGGTGGCAGCGGCAGCGGCGTGAGCACGGGCTGTGAAGATGCCACTGACGGCGAGCGCACGCCCCGCAGCAGCGTTGACAGCACATGTGCGCAGGAGCATTCCGATGCGTCTGCATCCGACAATCAGCAGCAGCGGCAGCCGTCGCCACAGCGGTACAAGGGGCGACGGCGACAGAGCAACACAGCGTCAACAAACGACACCAGCAACAGCAACAGCACCAGCAGCAGTGGTGGTGGTGGTGGCTTCCTTCGGTTGCTGCGGTCTCCAACGCGCCGCAGGTCAAAGGGCAGTTCAGCTGCCAGTGGTGTTGGCGAGCAGGACGGGGGCGCCACAACGGACGGCACTGAGACGGAAACTGCAGACGAATGCGAGACCGTGCCAGTGCAACGCAGTGGAGACAAGACAGCGGCCAAGAAGCGAGGAAAGCGCACACCAAGCACGAGCAGCAATAGTGGCAGCGGTGGTCACAGGTGGTCCCTCATGTCGTTCCGGCGTGGTGGGCGCTCGAAGAACAACAGCGCCAGCAACAGCAAGGCGTCCACATCCAACTCCACGCCGTGTTCATCACCGATTCCTGAACTGCCAGAGGAGGCATCAGCGGCAGCAGAACCACGGTCATCTTCGCTGCGGACGAAGGCACGCACGGATGAAGGAGTGAAGGCAACCACATCCTCAACATCGCAATCTTCCGCGTCACCGTCAGCAACAACAACGACAACACCGACAACCAGTGCTTCGCCGTCATCGGCGTCAGCGCCAACACCACCAACGCGCCGCGGTGGTCTTCGCTTGAGTCTCCGTCGCAAGTCCCCGACGTCATCTCCAACACGTGCCACTGCAGCCACGAGCAACACAGGCGAAAGCTCGAGCACAGCCAAGCCGCTCTCTGTGCGGGAGCAGATACAGATGCTGAATTCGCGGGCGGCGGACTCTGCGCCGTGCACGCGATCACCATCGCCGGCGAACGTGCAGCAGAACAGGGCACCGTCGCCGTCGCCGCTGGCACGCACCCCCGCCCACCACACAGTCGCAAGGCCCAACCCGACATCGCCCACACCCCAGGCCACGACGGTGCCAATGGCAGCAGCAGCAACAGCAACAACGGCGACGGCATCTGACACCAGCACATCACCAGCAACACCCACAGCAGTGTCGCCCGTTGCTCCGTGCCAACAACCACAGCAGCAGCGGCAGCAGCAGCAGCAGCAGCAACAGCATTCGAGAAGGCCTCCGTCGCAGCAGCTTGAGCCCGTTCCCGCGTCCCGCATCATGGAGTTTATCCACATGTTCAACAAGGCCACAGCAGACAAAGTGGGCGGCAAGACCACTAGCACGGACAACCACGCTGGTGCCAGCAGTGGTGATGTGCGCACGCGCGCTCAGAGTTTGGACATTGCATTCAGCACAGCCTCCCCAACAAAGCATCACGCGAGCCATCAACAAGAACAACAACAAAACCAACAACTGCAAGAACAGCAGCAGCAAGAACAGCAGCAAACAACACGTGCTGCGCCATCTCCGGTGGCGCGCGCGGGAGTGCTGCATCAGACGGCAGAACGCGGCAGCCGTGAGAGCTTTTCGTTCTGGCGCATGCGTGAACGCCAGAGCCAGGAGCAGCTGAAGCTGGGCGAGGACCGCAGAAGTGGACGCAGCAGTCTCACCTCGGCCTCGCATGCTGTCGGTGGCAGTGGCAGTGGGAGGGCTGGTTTCAGCCTTCGTACCGACAACGCTGCCAAGGCCCCGTCATCGGCAAGCGGTGTCGGCGAGAAGGCTGCGCACACCACCGCTGCTGTTGGTCACCTGCACAAGCAGGGCAGCACGGGCATTCCCCACGCGGTGGAGCTTGATGCAGCCGAGCACGGTGCCATGACGTCCTCGAGTCAATCACAGCGCCCGCGCCATCATGGTGGAGACAGCGAGCATGTGCCACCAACAACATCGTCGTCATCGTCGTTGTCGTCCACAGCAGCGGCAGCAGCGGCGAATGTGCGGAGTCTTGCGCGTCAGTTTTCCAAGCGCTCACGCCAGGACGGCACCAGCGGGAGGGGGCGCCGCCTCTCGCCCGTACGCCGGCAACAGGTGCCTGCAGGCAACCACGCCCACAGCGGCAGCAGCAGCGCATCTCAACAGCACAAGGATAAGAGCAACGAAGGCAGTCAAGTACTGAAGCAAGTATCCAACACACGCATCCCTGTTCCATCATCCCCACCAACAGCGGCAGCAGTGACAAAGACAGACGACGACAAACCACGACGCGGTGCGTTGTTTACTTCTGAGTTAGCTTGCTCAGTTTGCTTGTGTGTCTGTGTGTGTGTGTGTGTGTGTGCATGTGTGTGCATGTGTGTGCGTGTGTGCATGTGTGTGTGTGTGTGTGTGTGTGTGGCCTGTTTCATGCACATCATAATGTGTATGTTGTCGCATGCTTGCAAGCATTGCACCTCACAATGATCGCATTTCTCACCATCGCCCATGTTCCTCCCCTCACTTTCCTTCGTACTCCTCATGCAGGGTCCAAGTTCTGTGCTGTCGCCCCACGCACAAGCACGACGGAAACACCCGCGCACGGGTTCTCCACCACGTCGCACGTTGGCCGCGGTGTGGCTGCATTCACGCAGTTGATCGAGGGCACAACTGGGGGCTCTCGCACACGCAGCAGTGGCAGCAGCTGCGGCAGCGGTGGTGTCACAGCACAGGTGACGCACCAGCAGCAGCCACCGCCGCACCACCACGCGCCCAGCGGCGGCGGCGGCGGCGGTCGCGTCAACATGCGAATGAACAGGGTGCCGACGCCCAACAGCAAGGACTCGCACGACAGCAGCAGCGCTGGGGTGAAGGCGGCATCCTCGTCGCTCGCTTCATCCAAAGGGCTCAACTCGCCCAGCAGAACACCACGCCCCTCAGCATGACGTGCTCGGAAGGAATCGTGTTGACCCTGACCTGTGTGAGGCTGTCGATGTTAGGATGTTGGTGTGCGTGCTCACCAGAGTAAGCAGCCTTCACGCACGTGACTCGCCAACTTCTGTGCCTGTTGTGTTGCACGGCATTGGTCCCAGTGCTCACCTTATCTTGCGTACAATTCTTCTTGTTCGTTTTGTGTCTTTTGCTTTTGTTTTTGACAACACCACTGAGGCCCACATGTTCGAGATGTGTTTCGCCCAATTCATTTTTTTTTTGGTTTCCTTGTACACACTGTGTAGCAGCAGATTCTATTCTTTTTGTTTCATAGCCATGCATGACTGTAGTCAACAGGTCAACACACGTGCTGTTCTTTCTTGACACTTCTTTTGTTTGCTCCTCATCCATCACCCTTTTCCCCCCAGCAGTACAAACACAATATCGCCACACACACACACGCAAGCACACATGCACGCAAACGTGTCATTGCTGATGCTTGTTGGTATGTATGTATGTAGCTGTTTTCTTCTTGATGTGGTGTCACAACCAACATCCATACATGACAGGTGTCACAGACAGAAAGAGCACAGAGCAAACAAAAGAGTGTGTGAGGTGTCCAACATGATGATGGACGATGTAAACAACGACATCGCCACTCACACAACACTCACACACAAGACGCAAAACAACAACAACAACAACAACAACAACAACAACAACAGCAACAACAACGCATATCAACGAAGAGAAGGGGAAGGGGGACGCGTATTGCATGCGTGCTGGCAGCAACAGGCAAGTGAACAATAACGAATGACATCTATGGGGAAGAAGAAGAAGAAAAAACTTGTGGGAGGGGAGGGTATGTATGTGGGTTGAGCGAAAAGCTCCGATCTTTGTGTGTCGCACAGCAACGTCCAGCATGCGATGCGATGATGGAGAGCAAGCAGGGCGACAACAGATACGGGGTGCTCGTGCTCGTGTTGGTTGAGGTTGTGGGGTTGTTTGTTGTGTTGTGTGGGTGCTGGGAAGGATTGTTATCTGCATGTAGGGCTGGTTGGTTGTGGTTGGTGAGGAGGGTGGTGTGGTGCTTAGTAGCCGACAGAGGCAAGGTAGTCTGCAAGCTTCTCAACGACGTTGTTGCAGTCACCGCCCTGCAGGCCACCCTCGTACACGCCAATCAACAGAGCCTGGTTGGTCTTCACAACAATGCAGCCAGCATCACCGCCCTGTATGTGCATGTGTGTGCATGAGCGTGGTATGTGTGCATGTGTGTGCATGAGCGTGGTATGTGTGCATGCGTAATGCGTGAATGAGCGAGCGAATGAGTACAAAAATGTGTGCGTGTGAGTACAACAACGTGTGTGTGTGTGTGATGGTGGCAAGAGAGCGCCGCAGGTTGGCGGCTGTTGGTTGGTGTACGTGCCAGGCTGGGTCAGGAGGAGATACGCACCTTGCGGCCGAGAAGGGAGCGGTCGGTGGCGCGGAGGAACATGTACTTGACGCCGTTGAGGACGATGCCAGTCTGATAGAGGGGCTGGGGATCGCCAAAGGCGCGCGCAAGGGCTGCTGCCTCCGCAGGCGCAACCTGTAGCAAGACAGCAAACGAGTTGTGCATGCACGCGTTGGTGAGGGGTGCCATCGCACAATCGCAGGAGTCACAACACGAACACGAGCGTGTGAGCTCTTTCCAACAGCAGACGATAAAACAAAACAAAAGCCCACGAACAAGCGAATGGCACGGACAAACGCACGGTGAAGCCGGCGGATGTGGCCCATGGGTTGCCGTCAAGACCGTGGATGGCGGCCTTGGAGACCTTGCCGGTCGCGATGAGGTGCTGGTCGACGTACTGCTGCCACGACATTGTCTGTCAAAGGATGGGACGAGAAGATGGGAGGAGGAGACGAGGAGAGAGAGGGTAAGAGGAGAGGGAAAAATGATAAACGTGGAAGCAAGCCACACACACGCACACACGCACACACAAAAGACAAGCACAGTGAGTGAGAATTGCGAACCAGGTGACTTGAGCACACAGAGGAGAATACACATAAGGTTGACGAAGAGTGCGTGCGATCTCGCTGCTGCTGTTGCTGTTGTTGTCGTTGTGGCTGTGGTTGCTGGTCAACACCACATCAACTCGCGTTCGTAGGGACGCTTCTCTTGGCGACAGAGAGAGCCAATCAAGGAAAGCCGGGCGCCACCATTGAGCGCAAACACAAACGTCAACACAAACAATTGGAGAGTGCGCGCCACAACCGCAAGCGCCGGTCGGTGGCACTGGGATGTGACAGTTGTCGGGATCCGTATTGCTGGTGGTGTTTCGGGCGGCAGGCAACAACGCGCTCTGAGCGTCACGGTTGCACAGCGGCATGCAAGTGCTGGCAGCTGTGTCGACAAGCCCACACGGCACCCAAGTTCGGATGTCGTTGGAACTTGCTGGTGATGGCAACACTCTTTGGTTGTCTGCTGTTGCGGGTTGTGCTGTTGCTGTTGTACTGCCACTCCAACAAGCGCGCGCACACGCACACATACACACACACACACACACACACACACACACACACACACACACACACACACACACACACACACGCACACACACACACACACACGCACAGACGCGGGTTCACACAGCCCCACCAACTACCTCTCCTCCTCGTCCTCACCTTTGGTTGTGTTGGAAGGAAGGGGGGTTTGCTTGCGGGCTGTGGGAGCGAGGTTCGTCTGTGCTGCTTTGCTGGTCGCTTGGTAGTGGAGATGTGGGTAAGTTTCCAGCGAACAAACGGTTTGCTGCGATGCTGCGACGGACGAACCAAAGGCCAGACAACGGGTTCCCAAACAACAATAAAAAAAATTTACTTGCGCTGTGACCGCCTACAACATCCTGAGGAGGCCACCCTTTGTTTTCAATTCCCGGTTGTGTGGGTGTGCGAGAACTGCCGCAAACCTTGTGCCAATCGTCGTGGGGTGTCGTTGCAAATTGCAACGCCACAGCCTGAGCTGGCACAACCTGGGCTGCAATTGGCAACGCATTTGGCAGACAGTGAAGACAAAAAGGGAACAAGACGAACAGCGCCGCTGAGCATCCCCCAAGAAGACAGTCGTCGACCAATACAAACAACACCACCACCACCACCACCACCACCACAGGCGCCATGGCCACGGAATTTCAGGTGCGCATGCGTGTATGTGCTGTGTTGTAATGTTGTGTGTAATGTGTCATGTATGTGTTTTGTGTTATGTTTGTGTTGTATGTGTGTGTGTGGTTTGTTTGTGCCCACTGCACATGATCCCTGTGCGATGTTGTGTTTGTGTTTGTTTTGCATTGGGGAGCTCACGCACCATGGCTGCATGCGTGTACATACGTGCGTGTGTGTGTGTGTGTGTGTGTGTGTGTGTGTCTGTGTGTGTGTCTGTGTGTGTGTCTGTGTGTGTGTGTGTGTGTGTGTGGTTGCAGTTGATGAAGAACCCGGTTCTTCCCCTCTTCACGCACGCGTGGAACAAGGACAAGACACGTGAGTGCATGCATGTACACTTGTGCGCATGCGTGTTGCAGGGTGGATCATGTTAGCACGCTGTGCGCACATCAGCCACTCGTTTGCACACATCAGCTTTCTCAACCTGACGCTTCATGTGATCCTCGCCCTCTTCCTCTCTCCCTCTCTCCCTCTCTCTGTCTCTCTCTTGCCCTTGCCCTTGCCACCCTCAGAGGTGTGCGTGTCCCCGGGCGATAACAAGGCACACATCTACTCGTTCGATGGCAAGAACTACAAGCTCGAACACACCCTCGAGGATGTACGTTTCGTGTGTGTGTGTGAGGGGGGGGGGGTGCGTTTGGGCGAGTTGGGGACTGTTGCTTGTACTCTTGTTGTTGCTTTTTGCTCTGACTCTTGCTCTTGCTGTCGCCGACTCACTTGCGTGTTTGCTTCCACTCCTTTTCTCTGACTGCAAACAACACCTGCAGCACACGGCCACCATCACCGGCATTGACTGGTCTGCCGAGTCCAACGACATTGTCACCTGTGGCCATGACCGGAACGCCTACGTCTACTGCTGGGTGCGTGGGGGGGGGGGGGGTGTATACGTGTTGTGTGGGTGTGTGGGTGAGTGTGGGTGTGTGTGTGTGTGTGGGTATGTACGTGTTGTGTGGGTGTGTGGGTGTGGGTGCATTCGTGTTGTGCGTGCGAGGGTGTGTGGGTGTGGGTGTGTGTGCGTGTGCGTGGGTGTATAGTGTTGTGCGCGTGCGCGTGTGCCTCTCGCTCTCTTCCTCCCTACCTGTCTGTTTGTCTGTGTGTGTATGTTACTCGCGTTGCTCCCTCTTGCCTTCATGACTTGCACTTGTCAGTGGACTCACCATTCACCCTGATGCAACCGATCCCCATCCACCACCGCCAACTGCCACGTGCCCGTGATGCCATGACAGAAGAAGAACGATGCTGGCGTGGAAGTCTGGGACCCGAAGCTTGTCATCCTGCGCATCAACCGCGCTGCCACCTGCGTCAAGTGGTCCCCCAACGGTCAGTCGCGCCATCAGACGACAGAAACGGGCAGGGTTGGATGTGCAAGGGTTCAATACGTGGCACATTCCTTGAGCTTGTCATGGCGCACACCTCAACGCACGTCTGTATACACACACACACACACTCTCTCTCTCTCTCACACACACTCACTCACAAACTCACACACACACACACTCTCTCTCTCACTTACACACTCTCTCACAACTCACACTCACACTTGCGTATCTCTCGCTGGGTCAGGCAAAAAGTTTGCAGTTGGGAGCGGTGCGCGTGTGATCTCTGTGTGCTACTTTGAGGAGGACAACGACTGGTGGGTGTCGAAGCACATCAAGCGGCCCATCCGCTCCACCATCCTGTCCATCGACTGGCACCCAAACAACTACCTCCTCGCAGCAGGCAGCGCAGACTTCAAGTGCAGGTGCTGTGGCCATGCTCATTTGTGGCGCTGGTGCTGGTGTGTTGTTGGTGGAGGGGTTGATGGTGGTGGATGATGATGGTGGTGGTGTGAAGGGGTCGTGGAGCGGGGATCAGAGGGGAGGCAAACGACAAGGGTGCAGATTGCCGCTTTGATTGTGTGGCAAGCAAGGCAGCACAGCACGCACGCCCAATTGATTGCACAGAACGCATGCGTGTGCAGCTGTGTGCTTGTTGTTGTCTCACGCCATCTCCCCCACTGTACACCGCTCCGCGTGGTTGTGCTGTTTTCTCTCTGTGCACAGGATCTTCAGCGCCGCCGTCAAGGGCGTGGACGAGAAGAACAAGGAGACGGAGTGGGGTGCGCGCAAGAAGTTTGGCGAAGTTGTGCAGGAGTTTTCGACGAGCACGGCTGGCGGCTGGGTGCACGCTGTGTCGTTTTCGCAGGACGGAACCAAGGTGGCTTTTGCCGCACACGACTCATGCGTCTACGTCGTCGACGCCACAGACAACCTCAAGTGAGTCCATCGATGATGGTGGTGATAACGACAAGGAGGGGGCTTGTGTTCTTTTCACTTGCTTCCGTCTTTGCCTGCTTGCTCGCCTGCTTGCTTGTCTGCTTGCTTGCTTGCTTGCTTTCTTGATTTCTTGCTTGCTTGCTTGCGCCCTTTGTGTTCACCACATCGACCATGCTCATCATCATCACCACCATCACACCCCTTGCAGGATGCACCGCCTGCCGTGCAAGGCGCTGCCGTACCGCACCATCGAGTGGGTCTCTGCCACGGAGTTTGTTGCCGCCGGCTTTGACTACGTCCCCGCTCTCTTCTCCTTCACAGGCGCTCTCCAGTACATCGGTCAGTACTCCTGTCGCTGGTTGCATGTACATGCGTGTGCGCGTGTTTTGTATTCATGTGTTTGTATTTTTGTGTGTGTGTGTTTGTCGGTGTGTGTGTGTGTGTGTGTGTGTGTGTGTGTGTGTGTGTGTGTGTGTGTGTGTGTGTGTGCACATCACCGTACTTGCCTGTCTGTCCTTGGTGTGTGCAGTGCATATTGTGTCTCCTCCATCCACCCCCCGTCATCCATCCACCCACTCATCCATACCCGTACCCCCACCCCCCTTCTCTCTCTCTCTCCGTCTCTTGGTTAGGCGAGCTCGACACGCGGCAGGAGAAGGAGACAAAGTCGACGTTCCGTGCGCTGGACAAGTTCCGCAACCTTGACAGCAAAGGCACGACCGAGGGCAGCGCGCTCAAGACCAAGGTCAACACCACCCACCAGAACTGCATCGCAGACCTGCAGATCTTTGCTGGCGAGAAGGGCAACGTGGCCAAGTTCACGACCGTGGGCAGCGACGGCAAGATTGTCGTGTGGGACCTCGCCGCTGCAAAGCGCAGCATGCCCAGCAGCGCCGCCTGAGCGGGTGGCACTGATGAGATGGGTGGATGATGCTGTGATGACGACGATGACGCCGTTGTTGTTGTTGCTGTTGTTGTTGATGTTGCTGCTGTTGTTGTTGATGATGAACCGATGCACAATGACAATCGTATGATGTGTGATGGTTGCTGGATGGCTGGCTGGTGTGATGATGTGGCGATCGTGACCCGTGCTGCGTATGCGCGTGTCACGTTGTCACATTGAGCGGTGGAAGCGGTGGACGATGACAGTCGAGTGGATGTGCCTGATGAAAACTATGTGTTGTTACAACCTCCTCTTCTTCCTCTTGCTGTTGTTGTTGTCGCTGTTGTTGTTGTTTGGTTTTTCACAGTCTGTGTGGGGTTGTGTTCTTCTCTCTTTCCTCTTCTTGATGCTTCACGTGCATGTGTGTGTGTGTGTGTGTTTGTGCTTCTTGCCTCAATTGAACAAGCGAGCAAGCAAGACGAGGAGAAAGTGGCAGGGAGGGAGAGTTAACAAACAACCTCCTTGTGTTTGCTCGCGTTTGATGGCGATTAGTGGATGATTTCATCCAACTTTCGGCAGGTGGCAGGACGATGATGACGGCAGCTGTTGTTTGGTTGGCGCGACGTCGCTGCGGTGCATCACTGTTGGTGCTGGTGCTTGTGGCATCAGCAGTGGCTGCAGCGAGCGACAGCGCCACTGCAGGAAACAAGCACATTGATGTAGTCGACCCATTCATTGGCACAGGTATTTGGTTACGTTTCGCGTTCGCGTTCGTGTGTGTGTGTGTGTGTGTGTGTGTGTGTGTGTGTGTGTGTGTGTGTGTGTGTGTGTGCGTGTATGGTGTGTGTGTGTGTGTGTGTGTGTGTGTGTGTGTGTGTGTGTGTGTGTGTATGTATGTTGTGTGGGTGTGTGTGTGTGTGCGTGTTAGTGTGTTAGTGTGTGTGTGTGTGTGTGCGTTTCAACACTGCGGTGAAACCCTTGGGGCCTCTCTAATTGAATCACTGTGCATGCAATGAAACACAGGCAACTTTGGCTTTGGCGTTGGCGGCGATCCCGTCGGTGTGCAGGTGCGCTTGTGTTTCTTGTTGCCCTTGCTTGGATACCTTGTGTTTCATGGTGCATACTGAACGCATATCATCTTACACAGGCACCCATACACATATGCATGCACACACGCACACACCCTCTTTCTCTCA